TAAAAAAAATCATATGACATATGTCATCAACTTATCATAAAAGTTTTAGACACTATACTACTCATATTTATTTAGATTTTGTTAGGCAACGTTTTTCTAAATACTTATCAAATCTTCTACTCTGATAGTTGCTTTTAACAAATTCCTTGTGCTTGTACTTGAAAGACCCATCAGACTTTTCTGGTAGTACAATTTACTTTCTTTGTTGAAATGCATCCTATTTCTTTTTTCTCAGGGTCCGGGATCTTGGATAAGTGTAATGATTTTTTCCTCTGTGCTTGTGAGATAGGTTTTTTTTTTTTTTTTTTGCTGCACACTCCAAATGTTAAATTTAATGGTAACAACTGAATGTATTTAGCATGATCTATGTCTTCTAGAAGTTTTTTATGATAACAACAGCTGAATGTATATAGCACGATCTATATCTTCTAAAAGCCTTAAGCAAACTTGACGATTTCATTTAGGCAAGACTAATTTTCTTAGTTGTACAACATGGTCAGCTTGTTAAGACTACTGATTTTGATACTTATTGAGTACGGTTCTGATCGCATGTGTTTACAACTTTTGGCAACTTTCCTTTCTTCTGACTGAACTATTGATCATTTCATCTTGTAGATACTAGGGAAAGCCTTCGGAGTACCAGATAATAGCGTAAGGACATATGCTGAAGCTGAAATTCGTTCAGGGTAATGCTTCTACTTGATTGATATGACATTTTAGCTTTCTTATCCGCCTTGTGGTCTCATCAGGTCTAGTTTGGATTTTGTTATTTATTGGTTAGTTCATTGTTCGTTTTCTGATTTTTGTGTGATTACTACTCCTTTTTGAGCTCCTTAGCTTATTTTGACCCTCAGTTGGAGAGGTGATGTCATTTCTAGGCGAAAATCTGTCATATCTATTTGTCTAGATTTTGTTCTTTGTCCATCTGGAGGCTTGCTTAATAAATGAACTAGTGTAACTGCATGACTAAAAAAGGTAGGTTTGCCTACTTGCTAATTAGCCATCAAGGTTCTATTTTAGGTCCTTCATCTGCTCTTAATTGGTTCTGCCTGGAGTTTGGCACCGCCTCATCTGAGTTTTGACAGTTAGTCATGAAAACTTCATCAATTCTTTTCTAGGGCTCTTACAAGTTCAATATTTGTTCATACTTCATAGCCAATCCCATCTCTATGGGAAAAAAGCTTAAGCTTAGATGATAATGATTTACAGATTAGTTTATTAACTAAAACAAGAGCAAAATCTAATTTTTACCTATAAATGTTTTTTTTGTAGTGTAATCTTCCAGGTTTCAAAGATTTGCACTCTTCTTTTGAAAGCAGTGAGAACTGCTGTTGGATCCTCTGGCTGGGATGTTCTAGTACCGGGAGTGGCTCATGGAACTGTTATAGAGGCAAGTAAAAATTCTTTATTTGAAATGAAGTGAGGCATTTAGTTTACTTATTTAAATGAATTTCGTATAACTATATGTTTAGCAGGTACTGAGCCATGATGTCCTACATATGCCTACTCTTAAATAAATGAGCTATGCAAATGACCACAAAAAACTGTTGGGCTAGTATATTGATAAACTAAGGTACTATTTTAGAATAGTTGTGGATTCATGCAAAATGTATCTCATTAAATATATCTGGCACTTAGTCTTAACCTGTGTTGGATGCTCAAACTCAACTTTACTTAATGCATACTTTGTTGTATTTGCTTTCAAAATTACGTGTTTAGATTCAAGATCAATGAAGGCGGTCTCAGAATGACTTGAACAATATGCTCATTTCGACGGTTGCTGAGTGTTGGTGGTGATAACAGACGCAAGTAAAATGCTAGCAGGAGTTATTAGTATTGCCAATTGTAGTGAAAGAACAGCAAGTTTGGATTGGAAGCCTCTCCTTAATGATTCTACTAAGAGCTTCAGATCGGTTGCTGTCAGGTGCAGAATAGCGAAGAGATGGGGATGGGCAGCTCGGTAGTTTGTAGGAAGAGATGGAGAGGGTTGGTCCAAGAAAAAAAAAAGTAAGAATAGGCTAGCAGCTAGATGAGGAAGAGAGAAGGGGTCCTAACTATGGGCCTATGGGGTAGGGTTAGGAAACAAATAACATGAAATCAGAACTCTAAAACAATCCAAATTTTTTTTTGATAAAATTTGATCATTTATAGACTCATATTGGACTGCTAATACAAATAGAATACAAAATCGAATTTAAAATAATATAACTAATCCTGATAGCAATCATAATCAAAGATTCATTTAAATTTGTATTCAAATAAATAATCCTAAATCAATTATCTAGTCTTAAATTGGTAGCACTCTTTCTCTATTAAGACCCTATATGTTGGGGAACAAGAAGAATTTTTTAAAAGAAAAAATTTAAGATACTGGTCTTAAGCCTAGATCAATGGTTTCACACCAAATAAGGTCTCACACATTTAGAAGGTATCATACCCAAAATTGAATAACACAAAATGTAGAAACCATAATTTTTTGTAAAATTTTTGTAACTATATTGAAGAAAAACTAGTCTATGAACTTAGCAGACTTAATTATTAAGAAAGTAATCCCTAAGAGAAAAGAAATTTAATCATACTAATATAAAAATATTCCTAATAATTTGATTCGTAAAGGACTCATAAATCAATTAAAATTCATATCTAATAATTTCCCTTTTATAGATAGGACTACAAGAAATTTCCTACTAAAATTAGAATTCTAAAAGAATTCTTGACAACCGTTTTCCCCCATTTTCTTTCATCTTTTTCTTTCTGGTTTTGCATCAATTTCTCTCGGCAAGAGAAAACTTGCTTTTGAGTTTGAAATTGGATATCGTGAAGAACTGTGAATCACTGTAATGTTGGTGAAGTTGCAATTATAAATCTCTTTGACTCTGATGCCAAATGATGTGGAATAAGCAATAACAAGAAAAGAAAGCAAAAGAAAAAAAAAGAAAATTTAAGATTTCACCTGATTTTTCCACCTCACACCATTGTTTTAAATATCCCGGGCATGGCTCGATATATCGCCCAATATATCCTTTTACAGTGCTTGCTACAACGGATATGGTATCTAAATATTCTTTGCCGCTTTTTGGTTATTTTAGGTGATATATCCCCGATATGTCCAATATATCAACCGATATGTTAGCCAATAAATCTTCTTTTTATATGGCTTGTCGCAAAATAATATATCACGTTTGGCAATTTTTGGGCGAGATATCAAGATTTTTCCATTATATCAAATGATTTTTTTGCCTAAAAAATCAAATGAAATGTTGCGCGTTGATTTGTACTTTTCTTTGTTTTGAAAGGTTGATTAGTGATCCGAAACATATATTATTTATATTTTGTATGCTTAGATTTCATTATGTATGTTGAGAATACATTTTAGTGCATTATAGTATATATGCAAACATCCGTTTTGGCATTTTGATATTTACCACATATCGCTGATATTTCCCTGATATCCGCAATCCTATATGACTTTTAGCCATCTGATATTTCCCTGATATTTAAAACCTTGTCTCACGCCAGTTGAGGACACACTTTCAAATGTAGGGTCCCACATCAAAGATTAAATCAGCCTATAGAAACATGATTTTTCATAATATCTTCGTTATAGCTTTAGTGAAGAAAACTAGTTTTTGGTTTAATTTTATACGGATCTGATTGTTTTCTTTCGCAGTGCTTTCAAATTCAGCCCAACATGGTACATTACAAATTCTTTGAATCGTAGTTTAAATTATTTCAACCATACTGGTTGAAAGGGCAATGTATATAATTGCTTATTACTGTGTCTGGGCAAATTTTCTCTATTTTTGAGTTATTGATTATTAAATAAATCTCAACTATCTCTTTATTATGTTTCAGGTAGAGAGCATAGTTCCTGGTTCTTTGCCTTTATCTATCAAAGGACCTGTAATTCTGGTTGTTAATAAGGCTGATGGAGATGAGGAGGTTGTTAGTACTTTCCAATGCATATATGTTGATTTTGTCTTTCCTTCTATACATTTTACTTCAGTAATATGTAGATAGAAAACCTCTGAATTGGTAGAATAATGATTGCGACAGGTTAAGGCAGCTGGAAGTAACATAATGGGAGTTGTGCTCCTTCAGGAGTTACCTCACTTGTCACACCTTGGTGTCAGGGCTAGACAAGTCGGTAAAATACATCATCTTCTTATACGTGGGTATAATATCTGTATAACTATCTACTGTACTTAACAATGCCACATGCAGGAAAATGTGACTTTTGTGACTTGTGACGATGCCGATAGGATTGCTGATATTAGAAAGCTTGAAGGGAAATATGTGAGGTTAAATCATAATCTCTCTTGTTTAGAATTTACTTGAAATTACTTATCCCCCCTCTATGGCTACCCAAATATTGCAAGTGTACCTTAACTTGTTACTTGATTAATGAGTCCACTTTAGACTTTAGTTCTTGACTTGCTATGAGTTCATTAGAAAAAACATAAGACTAAGTGTATCTTGGCACATTGCACAAAGCCTATAAATTTTAACATTTATATTAATTACTCCTTGTCATAGATGTGCATGTATGCACATGTTTATCTGGACACTGTGTATCAAATATTAATATGCTATCTTTGATTTTCTTGTCTAATTATATTCATGTGGAAAACCAGGTTGGAAGCATCAGCTACTCATGTCAATATACGCTCCTCTGTGCCTGAAGATAGTGAGGTCGTCTTGCCTCAAAATCTATCAGGTAACGGAGCTTCATCTCCCAATGAATTGTTAAAAGATTCTTCACCTCATATTGCCAGTGCACATTACTCAAATAAGGTACCACACTAATCCCTGGATTAGACAAGCATTAGGCATATTATATGCTCATCTTGTTGTAGTATGACAATTTTTTTGAATTCCTCAAGTTAGTTTCTCTTATGAAATCAGATCTGACGATATTCATGTTTCTTTGCAGGATAGGGAACCGTTGCATAAAGAAATTTCTAGTGTGTTAGACCTTTCAGAAGCAGATATTAGTCTATCTGGGGCAAAGGCTGCTGTATGTGGTCATCTTGCAGCTTTATCGCTACTTTCTGAGAAAGGTAAGACTTGATTTGAGGGTTGTAAACCTTGTTATCCTTCTTTTTAGCATTTTAATTTTTTGCTTTGTTGTGTAGTCACGCGAGTCTAAAAGTTCTATAGTGATTATATTGTTTTGATCTTTGGTCTCTTCTAGACCGCTTATGTGGTTGGGGTTCCGTAACAAACTTGCATGTGTCTTACTTCCTTCCTTAAGAAAATGTAGGACGTCATCATTTTCCATTGGCAGTACAAAGAAAATTTCATCCTAGTCAATTCCAGAACGCTGTCGAGTAGTAAAGTAATTTTCCCTTTTCCTGTTTTACAATATATCTATCTGGTCCTGTTCAAACAAATCCGGGTGCCGGGACACTTCCTCTGCTCCCTTGAGGACATTAGCCCAAAGTTCAGTCATCTGCTTGTATTTAACTTCATAGAGGATATACTGCTGAGGATAGATTATTGGGAATCACGACTAATATGGGATCAGAATGAAATCTGATTTCCCTTGTTCTGTTCTCGTCTTATTAATTACAGGGAGAATACAACAACATATTGTCAATTGTGGAGTTGTTGCCCCAGTTGCAATAGTTCTTCCTAAGACAGAATCTTATTACTGGAGTGTAGGTTTATTATAATATCATTTTGTGGCATATTGTCTTTGTGATACCAAAGCTCTTATTTTGTCTTCATTAGTGTCCCATGAACGACCTCCTCCGATTTGGCTTGCACCTTGATAAATTCCCTTCGGCTACAAGGTATTTTATCAACTTGGTGGAATTTACGCCATGTTTTCCTTCATCCATATCCCACCACTAACCTTCACCTTTCCGTCGTACATATCTGCCATTTGAAATCTTCAACTCCAGGCCAGCTATCCTGAATTTGTTTTTGTGGTAGGTTCCTTGAAAGCTCCTGCATTTTAATGCTTTCCATGTACTGATTTAATCTACGCATATGATTCCTCAAATTTGGACTGTTTCCTTGCTTCAAATTACTTGTTATTCGATGGAACAAGTGGAATCCCTCTCATGCAAGGTTGAATATCTTCCCATCATCTTCCAGAGGTAGGTACCACCATGAATAGCTGAATCACAGGGTTTAATATCTTACTGTTGTCTTCTGGAAGCAGGCACGAACATGAACAGCTAAGTTGCCTAGTTTGATATCTTACCTTTGTCTTCTGGAAGTGGACACAACCATGAACAGATAAATAATTGCAGGTTTAATTGAACTTCAATTCAATGGATCATATGGATTTTTCTCAATACTTAAATTTAGTGATGAATTTTTCTTGGTAGAGTGTGAGCATCCCCTTTTTGAGAGTAAAAGCTGTTCCTCCTGGGTATAGCTAGTCTGGGAAGATCCACAGTTGACGTCAACCAGATAAATTTTGTTCTTAACCTTGTACCGCAACAGTTTCACGGTGAAAGTGGTATTCACAGAATGCCATACTGTATTAGACACAGAATGGAAAAAAAAGTACATAGATGCAATAAGACACGAAATAAGCAACATTACAATAGAACATTGCGCATTGATAAATTAGCTAATAAAGGAATTTATTGTGCTGAAGATACAAAGATCAGCCCATGATAAGCTACGAGTTTAGTACTTATATGGAAAGCTATGATATTCCTACTCCTTAGATTTAGTTGAAAAAGATTAGATAGTTGCTTGATTGAGAGGGTCTTTATTCTTCTTGCTTGTGCATCTCTCCGCGTCATTTGGATCCTGCCTATCAATATGTACCGATCAGGATTCTTAACCATTGAAATTTACTTGTTACATAGGTGGCTTTTTTTGTTGCTGATTTCAATAAGAATTTCCTTTTTAACTCATTATCCATCATTTTTATTTTCATCCAGTGAGACGAAAGCATCAGATGAGCTTTATCAGAATCCCTCTTTCCATGACATGGTCAATGCGACTCGATCATGGTTACCTTTCTCTGTTTCTAACTATGATCCTCATGAACAAAAGTCTATCTCCCACATCATTGTTTGGCATGGATTTTTCTATGGATTATGTGTGACATATGTTTAGACCTATCAGTTCTGTTGCTTTGGCACCTTGAAGTTAACCTTGGGACTACACTGCAGCCTATATTCAGGTGACCATTTTGAGTCCCTGATAGTAAGACCAACCAATGATAGAAAGAAGAACATAGTAGAGGGAATTTTTTTTTTAAACCCAAAGTATAGTGTATTACTATGGGATCTGAGCAAAAGACATTTGAAGTGACGGAAAGAGAGGAAGTGTAGAAGGAGAAAGTGTAGTAGTCGGTGTCATGTATAGAACAATTTTTGTCTAGCTAGACATACAGAGAAGAACATATTATTTATAAGGTGGAAGCTCCTTAGGATCTGTTAAGCTTTCATTTCACTGATGAAGTTGTCGATGACTGGTGAAGTCCGGTCCTTTAGGCTTCTGGGGTTCCACCTTCTACCTTCCTCAATGTTAATCATGCTCTAGTAACCTTGCTGGCTGTGATTTCTTGACAAGGATCCCAAAATTCAAGCTCATTGCTCGGTGTTTGCATCACATAATCCCTGTCAATGAAGTGGTCGGGAATACTGAAGGCTTGATCATCAAAGACCATTCATACAAAAGATATTTGACAGCATTGTCCATGGATGATATTTTCGTATGAGTGGACATGACTTTAAGGCTCATTAGTTAAGGAGTGGATAAGATCCCAAGAACCAATGGCAGTTTTTACATGATCCTACTAATCATAAGAGAGACCCCACAATATGAAGCCAACGACATGTCCTGTCCACGTCTATTTGCAAACAAAATTTCCCTCGGGAATTGATCTTTGTATCATGTCTCATTTTTCCAAGTTTTATATATTTCTACTCGTATCCAGTTAACAACCTCAAATTCTGGCAATTCTGAACTTACCTGTCTAAATACTTCATGATAATGAAATGAGGTCTTAGTGTTGATTTGATTTCGTTATAAGTCGTACAACCTGCAATCCCATTTCTTATATCAAAAAATTAGCTGCAGTCGAGCATCATCTGTATACTCTGATGAACTTATACAACATTGGGTTACTCCCGGTGGTCTCCTTCCCACATCTGGTTAATGATACGTAAAAACAACATTTCCCTTGTAAATTTTGGTGAGAACTTGATGGTCTGACTTATTTCTACTTTTCCAATAGCAGTTTTATTGTCATCATCATCATCATTGTTTAAGAATGCACTCCATGAAAACTGGGTTGGGTATGGAACTGTTGGATTTAATCTAATAAATCTATTTGTGGGCACATATGATTAAACAATGTGTATTGCTATCTTTCAGGATAACCCACTAAAGTGATCAATTAAGTTGGGTTAATGGGTATTTAAATATAATCATGGGGTTATATGTGCAGATACCAGGTTGTAATTGTGATTTATTGAGGGGCTAAATTACAAAAGTACAACATCTATAAATAAGGGGTTATGGTCCCTAATCTAGGGTTACTACATTCTCTAATTCTCTACACCCCCATCTAGCTAGAGAAATTCGGTTTTAGAGAGAACCCTAAGGTTAGAAGATCCAACACCCAAAATCAAGATCAAGCAATGGATTCAGGTATAAGCTTCCGCTCTCTTTTGATTTTGTTAATCTCTTTGAATTAATCATGGCTATATGGTTTTAGATCTCAAGTTTTTATGATGTAGATCTAACAAGTGGTATCAGAGCCACCTTGATTAATTCTTAGGGATTTAAGTTTTATTGGGTTTTTGATCTTAAATCTCTGGTTAAAGATTCAATTTTTGGGTTCGGATGAACAGTAATGTTCGGTGAACAGTAACGAAAATTTTTTTCGGGTGAAAAGTAAAGTTTTTTCGGATGAACAGTAATTGAAAAAATCGCCGATGAACAGTAACTTTTGGAATTTTTTGGATTTTTCTTTGATTTTTTCTTCAATTTTTTCCAATTCTGGATCTGTTTTGAAAATAAAAATCAAAGATTTTTGGGTTTGACGGCGGCGGTTTCAGTTTGAAACCCTAAGGGTTCATGGCGAAAATTGAGGAGGTGGTTACCTCAAACGAACTTTGCGTTTGTTCCAAGGATGAACTCTGCGTTCAATTTTTAACGAACTTTGCGTTCGTTCTCAGGTTGAACTCTGCATTCATTTTTTAACGAACTTTGTGTTCGTTCTCAGGTTGAACTCTGCGTTCATTTTTAACGAACTTTGCGTTCGTTCTCAGGTTGAACTCTGCGTTCATTTTTTAACGAACTTTGCGTTCGTTCTCAGGTCGAACATTGCGTTCGTACTCAAGGATGAACTCTGCGTTCAATTTTTAACGAACTTTGCGTTCGTACTCAGGTTGAACTCTGCGTTCAATTTTTAACGAACTTTGCGTTCGTTCTCAGGTCGAACATTGCGTTCGTACTCAGGTTGAACTCTGCGTTCATTTTTAACGAACTTTGCGTTCGTTCTCAGGTTGAACTCTGCGTTCATTTTTTAACGAACTTTGCGTTCGTTCTCAGGTCGAACATTGCGTTCGTACTCAGGTTGAACTCTGCGTTCATTTTTTAAATGAACCTTGCGTTCGTTCTCAGGTCGAACATTGCGTTCGTACTCAGGTTGAACTCTGCGTTCATTTTTTAACGAACTTTGCGTTCGTTCTCAGGTCGAACATTGCGTTCGTGCTCAGGTTGAACTTTGCGTTCATTTTTCAAACGAACCTTGCGTTCGTACTTAAGTGAGTCTCGTACTCAATACAGTCGAACCTTGCGTTCGAAGTTAAGGGAACTTCGTGTTCATTATGGTTAAACCTCGGCTTTTCATGGGTCCATTTTGGTATACTTAATTTATTTAATTAAGTTATGGGCCCTAATTAAGCTGTGAGACCCCAATTAAGTTTTTGGAAATTTAGTTGATTTAAATTAAAACTTTTTAATTTAAATCTAATTTGGTTTTTAATCAATTATTTAATTCAAATATTATGACACTAAGGTATTAAGGTTGTCTCTCACTCCAATTGATTAATTGAAACAAGAAGTTGCCAAAGTAACC